GCGTGCGCGCCCACTCCAGCTCTGCTCCGGGAGCAGGACACGGCCTCGCGAGCAGCACCCGCGCTCTCCTCCCGGCGCCGCGAGCTCCACACACACAGGCGCTGCCTCCAGGGATCCGGGTTGAGACGGTGCCAGCTCCGTGCAGCAGCACCATACCCGCAAGCTCTGTACCCACGGAGAGAGCCAGGCACGAGGCTTTTAGAGGATGGAGAAGGTGACAAAACTTAGACCTTGCCAGCCCTCCTCGCTGGCAGCGAGCACCAGAGCAGGGGTTCACACGTCGGACACAGGCTGCGCCAGGCGAAGCATGCTGGGGTTAAGACGTCCGAATGAGATGCAGGCTTTGGGCTTTTCTTCCTTTTTTGGGAGTGGTTCCCAAGAACTATTAAATACGAATATCAGGTTTCAAAAACCACCCTGAAAGGTTGGGGTTATGAGCCTATAGCTCCTCTTGGGTGTTTGGTATTAGCGACCCTGCAAAAGCAACTCCGTGGAAGTCCTCTATGCTCAGCAACAAGCAGGGACACAAGGACATGCAGACTGGGATCAGACTCCCTCCCAGGTGAGGTTCAGACCTTGAAGTGGGAAAGCCTAGGAAGCAAACAGGGACTTGGGAACTGGTTTCTGGTGCTGAACTCAGGGATGCTGACAAAGCTGGGAGCAGCTGAGGAGCGCAGAGGCATCTGCACTGGCAGACTCAGGAGCATCCCAAGGCCAAGGGCTCCATTCAGACTTCAGGTCCCGCCATGGCAGTTTCCTTGGCCCCATGGGCCATGGGGGCCTCGCTCTGGCTCTGCTGCATTGCATCCCAAAACTGCTGCGGAGAGGAAGGGGCTGCCGCGGGGGCACAGTTGGACAGCCCTGGGGATGGGCACGAGCCAGGATGGAAGGGAGGTATACATAGTGCCATGAAATGTCCTTTACCTTGCACGTTAATCTGACGGAAAGGGCGCTAGAGAAGCCTCCAGTGAATTTTTCCAGCAGTTCTGGAGGATCAGCATCGTCGGCTTGGCCTTGCACAAGGGACACCCGTTTGGTCCCCACCTCCATAAGCCAGGTAGTGTCACCCCGCTGGAGGCTGCCAGAGCCTAGGAAGCCAAGTACTGCTGCTGGCATGCTAGACTTGACCTCCCTCATTTATTCCTCCCCAGTAATTAAGATAAAGACCTATTTATAGACATATAGGCATTTTCAAGGTAATGAGTCTCTATCAGGAGGGGTTAAGTATCCATGCAGCTGAATGGGCGGCTCAGGAACCACGCAGTCTTTATTACTATTAAGAGACGCAAGCTCACAGCAAGCACCAAAGCATGCGACCTCCATCCTGCCGCACACAACCCGCAAACCTCTCCCCCAGGCCAACTAACAACGACGGAATGTCCTGTCCTGCATCACAAATATTCATACAGAGGAGCAAGGAGGGAGAGGAGGCAGCAAAGCCATAGCCCACAGGCAGGGGACGAGGCTAAGCTCAGCCTCTGTAGAAATACGGGCACTGCCGAGGTGGACGCAGCCACCGCAGGGACAGCCACGCGCCGCGGGACGTGCCAGGACGGCGCTTCACACAGGCCAGCCCACAGCAGCAGGGCACAAGGCAGAAGGTGAAGCTCGTGGCCTGCCAGTGTGTGGCCAGGATATCCCCAAAATGTCCGACTTCGCATCGCACTTCCCGAGAAGGGTCGCATGGCCCCGGGCCGCAGGGCGGGCACGGGCCTGGAGTGCCACCTACTGAGCCACCCGTGCCACTCCGGGGGATGAGAGGCATGTGAGGCTTCTGAGGAAACAGTTTTCCTCCTTTTATCTACCCTGTTTTCTGAATAAGCTGAAAGGTCTCATGAGAGCCTCTGGTTAAACTCCCAAAGCCTCTGTGAGGGACTGGGGTTTCTGGGGGCACAGGCACTGTGCTGGCTCTGCTGAAAACCCAAGCACTGAATTTCTTGCCATTTCCCTTCTCCATCATGCCTTAATCTTACCAAAATAATAATGATAATAATAATAATAAATTTTTAAAAAGCACTTTTTTCCCTAAGTCAAGAATTGAAAAAAAATGCACAAATGTCCTGTCTAGTTTCAACTCTGCAAGAAAATAAAGACCGTAGAAGGGATAATCTGGCAAGGAACAGCTCAAAACTCTGACAAAAAAGAGGTTCAAGAGAAGGTGCAAGAAGGAAGAGCTGCAAAACCACGACTACAGCCACAGAAGACTCGAGCAGCCTCAATAACGCTTCCGTGCCAGCTCTACGTCCTGCCATTGGCAGCAAGGGGTGGGGGGCTGAACAAGCAGTAACCTCCATCCCCAAATAAGGGCTGGAAAAAGCACAGCACCATTTCTGAGAGCAAAACCACTAGGACCCCTGGGACCCAGTGGCATTCCCTGTCTCCACGATGGTGCCCCTGTGGTGTCGGTGCCTGCGAGCAGCTCCCAGAGCTTTGCCCACCACCGGCTCTCTGAAGCGGAGGGTGTCCATCCTACAGCTCTGGCTGCACAAGCATTTTGGTACCCACCTAGTCATGCCAGCACATTGGCCACTTCTGTTCTGAAGAATCAGGTCTGAAGCCTGTGAAGTGGGGGGGGAATCCCCCCAGCAACAACATTGACCTGCCAATCAGCTCCACAAAAAGCTTCTGCCAAATTCAGAGGCTTTTAGAGAAATCACTTTGGAAGTCCTGCAGCTTGATCCCTGTTAAATCACGGCAGAGGCAACTGGAGCAAGAAAATGGAGGAGACCTTGCTGATCCAAGTCTGGAGAGCACCTAGGGTAGCCTGGAGCAAAGCCACATTGTCCTCAGCAGGTTCTGCCCCACTTTCAGCTGGGCCTGGAGAGCTCAGACTTCCCATGCCCCAGAACGGGAGAGCGGCCGTGGCCACGAGGGCTTGTGTTTGCACCTCGCAGACAGGGGCCTCCTGCCTCACTTGTGCTCCTGGGCGCACGTGAAGCTCGAGGATCCCATCCTGCACTACGCATTGAGCTCGGCCCAACCAACCCAGCACTGCTCCGGCTGCCCTGCTCGGCATTGCCGAACACAGCAAAGCTGAGACCTCAGGAAGCAAAACAACTCAAAAAAAGAGGGAAAAGCTTTAAAAATAGCCTGTCCTGGCCAGAGCCAAGAAAGGAAAGTAAAC